TGTCCCCATTGAAAAACCTCTTTCTGTTCCTCCCAAGGTGCCTTTCTCTGCAGTCCCTACTTCACTTAATTATATCACAAAGTTCGACTGTTTAACTAGCAAACTGGGAGTTACCCAGTCGCCAGCCCCTCATTCTGACAACTAAGTAGTCAATAAGTCCTATCAAACGGTAAAGCTTTCTCTGGGATCTTTCCTCCACTCTCCGTATCTACTGACAAGCCCTGGTCCAGGCAAGGGTCATTCTTGTCTGGGCTATCGCAATAGTCTCCTAATCGTAGGAACAATTTTAAAACATTTCACAACTGGTATGGAACAGGTGTTTACCCTTCAGAAAGGATACGAGGGTTGAACAGTGTCCAGCACACTAGTGCTAATCAGCCATCTTTTGGCCCTCACCTAGTTGGTCGTCTTGCCTCTGATATTTATTTATTTATTTATTTTTGGCCGGGGCCGGGTTTGAACCCGCCACTCTGGCATATGGGGCCCGTGCCCTACTCCTTTGAGCCACAGGCGCCACCCTGCCTCTGATATTTATTATCTCCAGTCCATAACCCACCCTGTGGTTATTTTTTTTTTTGCAGTGTAAAGTTGATCGTGTCACCGTGAGTAAAGTACCTTACCTGCAGTGTGTGGTTCTCCATAGGACATCTTCAACTCTTCAGCACGGTGCACAGGGTCCTTTGGGACCAAGTCCCCACCTTATTCCTAGAGTTTCCAATCTCATCATTCTCTCCAGCGTCCTAGAGCCGTTCTGGGCTTCTTGCTGTTTGGTGAGGGCACCCAAGGTTCTTTGAAATTCAAGTGTGTGGTTAACAAGTTGTGTCTGGGAAAGGAATGGAATTTACACTGCTCTGAAAGGCCTAGATTTGGCCAGATTCTGGTTCTGCGATTACATCTGAGCAAGGGAATCCACATAGGGTAAGTTCCAGGGCCAACCAACCTGCCCAGCAGGCTACCTGCCAGAGGTCTCTTCTTCCGCCCCTGCCTTCCGTCTTGACTTTTCTGTTTCCTAAACAGCCAAGCACGTTACATTACAGACACATTTCATCTTTTTCTTGTTTGATTTGTTGACTGGCAAGATAGTACTTAAAGAGGGGGTTCTCAGTGTGATGCCATTTCCTATTGTTTCATCAACCAGCTTTCTCTCCCATTTAGAAGGTGGAGCTGTCTCCGGGAAGCAGGACTGACTGGTTCAACAGCATTTGCTCAGCACTCAGGCACTGGGTGGGGCGCTCCGTGTACCGAGTTGAGACTGGCAGGGTCCCTGTTCCTAGGAACCTTCGGTCCAAAGTAAAGGCGGATAACTGATAGGAAATGAATGAATACCAATTATGGCAAGGTCACACTCAGAGTTTAGTTTCAAGGAATAAGGCCCCCAAGTAGTTGATATTTAAACCAAGACCTGAAGGACACAGAGGCACCAGCCGTGCAAAGATCAAAGGAAAGAACATTCTAGAGAGAGAGTTAGTCTTTATCTAAAAAAGCAACAATCTGGTGGCTTTCTCAAAGAAGTGTTTAGGAATAGCACTGCATCCATTTACATAAGAAAGGCAATTTATGTGGTCTGGAGGTGTCTGTGCCTTCACAGAGAGAAGAAATAATCCAATTATACTTCAAGATAATCTAGTGGACCATCACATGGGATCAAATTCTCCTAAATGTGCTTTGTGAATTTTTCTTTTCATGTCTTTATTTTGTTTTTTCCATATGGGGTGCTCACTACTAACTCGATCCCCAAATTTCTACCATTCTTTGGAGGCCTGGGCCAGGCCTGCCCCTCCTTGCTTGTGATTTAAGAATAGGCATCGAGTCCTCGTGCCCCAGCCTCCAATTCTGCAGCCAGTATCCGACAAGTCAAGTTATAACATTGATTCCATAAGCAGTTTCAAATCAGAATAGATTGCCCACTGAGTTCAGGAATTTCATATAGCCAAAATCCAACACAGCAAATAAGATCCTTTGAGTTTTGAGTTCCTTATGAAGGAATTTGAACAGATGGATATATTAATATGTAAGTGAATATATACAGAGAAATGCACTAAAGTCATATAGAGTCCATCCTGTAAGACCATCCTGTAAGACTCAGGTGTCCTCAAACTACGGCCCGCGGGCCACATGCGGCCCGCCAAGGACATTTATCTGGCCTGCCGGGTGTGGATGTTTCTGCTGCTGCTGCTGCCTGTCCTGCTTAGCAGCCGACTTGTCCCGGGGCCCGCAGTCCAGTATTCCAACGGTCCGAGGGACAATGAACTGGCCCCCTGTTAAAAAAAGTTTGAGGACCCCTAAGGGACCAGCTTAGTACCCTTTCTATATAAGCAAAAGTTGTAAGGTTTCCTAATCAGAAGTCAAGGTCCAGGGCCCAGCAGTGATGAGAAAAATCCCCAAAGTGAACAACACATCTCAAACTCAATTCCTAACTCTAAAAAAAAAGAGAGAAAAGAGAGAAGGCAAAGCTGCAATCCTTTTTACAGTACAAAAATTTTATTTTTTTGTTAGGATAATTTAAAGTTTAAAACTGAAGTAGACATATTCATTTTACAAACAAGATATTCTTTAAGTAAGACCGTTAAAAACAGTAAACAAAAAGGCCGTCTTTACAAAAAGCTCTGTGCATAGCAACTTTATACTGTATATAACTGACAAAGCAAAACAAAGAAATGGAACTATACAGTTTGAAAATGAGACTTGACTGTACAAAAGGTAGAGAATGGTTTTTAAACCATGCAGATTGAAATGTGCAAAGAAAAACTGAGAAGAAATTACACTGCTATAACCAAAAAAAAAGAGAGAGAGAGAGAGAAATAATGAAGTCAATTGTCCCTTGAAATGAAAAATCTTACACAGCTCCTCTTACAAAGTTAGAATTTGGAGTTACCTATAGAAATACTCGTATTCCAAGTGGCACAAAAATAGCCCAGGACTGGAATGCTCCAATAGCAATGACAAAAGAGGACAGGGTGGCTTTAATTTATCCGTACGCTAAAAATAGTCCTTACACACATTTGTACAATTAAATAGATCTGTCGCTGTCAGGGTGCTAGCTGAATGGTCAAGGGTGTCTGGTATTTAGTTACACACGTTTTTCGGTATAAAGCTACCGGCAAAATTCTACACTCATTTTGAAGACAGTACTGCACTCATCTTCATGCAAGAGCAAAATTCACAGGTTCTAAAAGGAATGCTACTTGAAAAAACATTTCCTTATGTTGGATTGGCTCAAATCCAGGTCTAAACATGCTTCGTGGTGTTCCGCCTTCGCTTTTGGATGGTAACGTTCCCGTTCCACACTTCCCCCCCTCCCATCAGATTTTTCACCGGGGGACTTTTCTTGTGTGTTTCTGTGTATTTGGAGGGGGCTTTAAGCCCTGACAATGGGAGATGGTCAGCAGTAGTTACAAGCATGCCAGGGGAAACCTTGGATTCTCATGTGCATACCATGTTTCCCCGAAAATAAGACACTGTCTTATATTTTTTTCTCAAGAAGACACACTAGGGCTTATTTTCAGGGGATGTCTTCCTCTTAGCGCTGAAATGCATGGCATTTACGCTGCATAGCCATGCCCATCACTAGGTCTTATTATCGGGGTAGGGCTTATATTTAACAAATGCATAGAAATCCAGCTAGGGCTTATTTTGTGGGCAGGTCTTATTTTTGGGGAACCACAATAGAAATAATATAGGTCATACTGGGTAATTCCAGAGTGGATTAAAGGCATGAAGATAGCTGGGGGCTGGATAGATATAAGCACCTATCCATGGGTCAAAGAGAAGTGATGTTGAATTAAAAAAGTCTTCCAAAATTGACTCAGATGCCCTAATGATATTTCTCCATGAGTCCTTCATCTAATGTTGAATCCCGAACCAAAAGCCCCAAACCAAGTCTGTGGCTGTACCACGATGTCATTGAGCCAACAAGGAGAACCCTGAACTGGGCACAAATGACATTTGCACTGGCAATCCAAATCAGTTTGGATACGTCTCTAAGGACCACATAGGCTCTTAAGAGTCCACCACTGTTAGGAGGAAAAGCCTTGCCAGCACTGCTGAGAGCCAGTCACGGACCCATCAGGGGCTGTGCACTGCTTAGAACACAGATTCTCCAAATCTGTCAATCTCCCAGGGACCTGGATTTCCATGTCTTAACATTCCTTTTCCACACCCCATCCCATTCTTGCCTGGAAACAGTGTTCAGTGAGATACATTATTTTTTTTTTCCCAAGAGAGTTTAATGTCATGAAAGAGGAAATTTACAGAGAGAGGAAAGGCCGGGGACGGTCTAAGACTGAGTCCATGAAACAGAGGCATCTTCTCCAAACCCTGTCTTTGAAGTTCAGGGGGGCTCTGTACCAAACCAGACAAAGAGGAGGGAGTGGAGAGAATTCCAGAGGGACCCCGTGGTTAAGAAACTCACGTGGCTTTGGCTCTTCTTGGAGGCGAGATACTTCTTTCCTGGGGCTGCTCAAAGCCTGAGACACACGAAAACATGGGCAGTCTCTGCAGGGCTCAGGGGAGAACGTTGAAAGCTAAGGTGAATTTTTAAGAATATTCACAAAGAGTGAACACCAAAAGGGGCATGTAGTATATTCAGGAAGGAGCTGGAGGTGTGACTGCGTTGAGGGGGTTGAGCGTTTGCCCGTGTGTGTGTGTGTGTGTGTGTGTACACTTGAGTCTGAGCCTCCGTTCTCCTATAGCTTCGTTCTGTAGGAATCTACATAAGTTACACTTCTTCCCCATGTCACTAAAATGATGGAAAAAGAGGGGGTGAGGGATAAGAACCTAGTAAGTAATTGCAATAATCATCACACACCTTTAAAACTTGTTACTACTGGTTTGCCTTATTTTCATTTTACACCAGGAAGAGAAGTTCTACTCTTCCCCCCCCAAAAAGTCTTAATTTCTACCTCAACCTCTACTTACAATAAGTTACATGTTTATTTATTTAAATAATTGTAAAACATTTTAAAATTTTTCCCTTTTTTGTTTTTTTTTTTTTTCGTTTGTTTTTAAAGAGATTTAAACTATAAGCAAACACACATACGTTTCATCATTCAATTCCGGTTTCATTTTAAGAAAGTCTTCCATGCTGGTACCCTGTTTGTTCACTTTTTTTTTTTTTCTGCATAAACTAAATTGGTATCTGAAAGGCTTCATAGAAAATAGAAACTTTCAACTTTTTTTTTCCTACAAAGAAAAACAAATGGTATCCAAAATATTAAGCATTAATTGTTTGCCAATTTTTTTTTCTTAAATATTTTACAAACATAGGAAGGTGGTTTTTCAGAATGTTCATAACAAAGGATTGCATTTCTGCTCTTAGCGCTGGCTACGTCAATGACACCTTTTGTCCTTGTCCCCAAGAGGGGCAGTTTGTGTCATCGTCGTCAGAGCTACCAGGGGACGTGAGACCGAATGAGATGCCAGCTCCTTGCATACCCAAGAGTGTCCATCGTGTTCACTGGGGGCACAACTCTTGCCCACAAAGAGCTCATAGTGCTTTCCGCGTTATTGGTCCATCAGAGTAAGTAGTTTTGTGCTAGAAGAAAGCCGTTTTCCTCTTCTTTACATCGGGGGGACGACAAGTCCAGTCATGGCTGCAAAGGAAGAGTGGCACAGGAATGAGCCCTGGAGACTTTAAAGGCTACGGCAGGCACTGAGTAGGGGTTAGAAATGACGGGATCTGGGGGTGCCGTCCAGAGCCAGGGGGCCCTCAGCTGACCCAGGAACGGATTTTCTCCAGGTTGGGTCTAGCAGACAGCCTAGGAGAGGCTCTGAAGCCTCCTAGAATGACTGAAATGGGAACAGTGCTACAGTTTTGCTTGGGAGGCCAAGAGTTAGGTTCTGCTTGGATTTGTAGGAGTGGGTCATATGCATGAGATAACAGATGTAAACGGACTTGTAATACACGCGTGACATATCTTTTTATTAGACTGAACTAATTTCTAGCTTAGACTTTTGCACAGCACTTAGTTGGAACAGCAAAGGAACTACAGGTGCTGAGTTCCTAGGTATCAATGTAACCAGTAAGTCCTTGGCATTCTAGGTGGCCCATGTCCGTCCCAGCCTAAATTTGATAAGCTGCTCTTCTTTTTCTAGCTAGCTATCTTCCTTTAAAGATCAGCACTCACCGCCGATGTGCCATGCTCCTTCCCTAACCAACTTTCCACTAGCATTGGAGACTTTAATTAGTTCCTAATTTGGGAGTCAGCCCCCGCCCCACTCTTTGTCCCCCTCCCAGTACAGTAATCCAATGTACCCCCTCTAGTCACGAGCTGCAGGCAATGCCTATCTGGGAAGAATCCTGTTCAAGGTCTTCCCAGGTGTGGGAAATAGCGCTTGTACGATGTAGAAAACACTCACAGAGATTGTGTTCCTCTGGCCCTGGCTTTCAGATGAACCCCTAGAATTATTCCTTCCTTGGACAATAACAAAATAGTTCCCTTGCATCAGAACTTCATAATACCTAGAATTTGACTCTTTGCATTTTATTGCACGTATCACATCTAGGGATTCTCAAATATCACAGAAGCGCTTTGCTGAGTCATGCTTACTAAGCTTACAAGCAAATGGCTACAATTCTCCCTGCCTCTCCCAAAGCATCCATCTTTTTCCGTCTCTTTCTCTCTCTCCCTTCACACCAGCCAGTCCTCTCAGGCAAAACTGTCAGCCCTCTATTTCCTGCCCACACAGCCTTTATTGAATGTTTGTGAGATCTGGATTAAGGTCTTACACAGCTAGCAAAGCCTTAATTATTTTTGCCTGTATTACTATATATTGAATCGATGTAACTTTTCAATAAAGGTGGTTCAATTCTGGACCCTCCCAGATGATTTAGAGATATAGCAACCCTAGTAATTATCCCAGAGTGTAGGAGTTTTTTCATTTTATTTATTTTTTCCTGGAGGGAGCTGGAAAATGAATCAGACACATAGTGTATAATATTAGCTTGACAATCTATACCCATCAACTCTAAGTGCCTGATAGAAGAGGGGTGGAAGGCAGGACTGGGATGCTGTGTGTCTATCTCCCTGGCAGTAAAACTCTGACTCACGTTCTCAACTTGAACTTGTCTAGTACGATTCAACCTTCTCAGCTCCTTCCTTTTTCTGGGTGCTAAGACAATTACCCAAGTTGGTTAGGAAAGGCCAGAGTCCCCCCTGCATGCTAGAGAACAGATTTGAGGTATTTTTCGTCTTCCTAGTCTCACATCCAGATGGGCTGGCTGGATCTCGGCTAGGTGGTGACCCTGACTTTTTGGGTGTCGAAACTGTAGCCACCTGGTCGAGAGCTGATGGTAACTGGAGGGAAAGAGGCCTTTTCACTGGGGCTCAGGGATGCATAACTGCTCTTTTGATTGTCCAGTTCCTTTCGCATTTTGTGGGAAAGCAGTAAGCTTCCTTTGGTCCAGGAGGAAAGGGGGGATGGGAGAAGGATGAAAGGACAAGAGAGGCAGTGGGCTATTGGGGCCTGGGCTTTGGAGTCTAAATGTCTGGATTCGAGACATCAGGTACTTGCTCTGAGGCCCAGGATAAACTGCTTAACTAAAAATGGTGACATTGGCAAGAACTTGAGGGAAATAATTTGTGAAAGGCACTCAGTTCAACCTGTTACAGACTCTCACCTCCCATCAGCCGTGATCACCAGGCTCCTCATCCCACATTCTTGCTCTCTCCCTGTCTAAGATGATGGAGCTCCCCACTTCTCAGGCCCCTGTGACCCCAGGATCTTTCATCCAGGGACAGTGGAAGGAGCACCTCCTAAAACTAACACTGGGGTTCTATCCCCCTGCTCCAAACTGGGGACGAGGAGAGGGAAGGCCTCCGAGGACATCATGTGTTAACCCTGCCAGGCTGTGGGAAATGTCCTTAACCTTCCTTAACTCCTCACACAAATTAACTCACCCCCAGCCGTGGAGAGAGCGATCAATTTTCTTACTGAACAGATGAGGAAAACGAGTTTCTGACAGGACAAAGACAGGCACAGGGTCCCACGTTCTGGAAGGAGCTGACCCAGGACTCCCCCACACACGGTGCCATCGAGGCTAGCACTCTTCTGGTGGCTAATTCTAAGCTTCTCCTCCGCATTCCTGATATTTTCATAGGTCTCTGCATTTTTTAAGGCTAGTCCCCTACATTGGCAAGTCTTTCTCTTCTTTTCCCTCACTAGCTCTCCCTCCTCTTCCTTTTTAAGACTCAAGTCACCAGACAAATTTGGAGGGAGCTGTAGGATCCAGAAGAGGTTTGGGACTTTGCAGTGACTCTAAAGAAGGGAAGCTGGAGCCTGGGCAGACGTGGACTCCCATCATGGCTCACCCAGGTCCCCGGTCCTAGAAGGTTGCATGACTGGAGACCCTGGGGAGAGTCTTTTGGCTATTTTTGCTGTAGTGGCCCCCTCAGGGAACCCCACTCTAGGTATGGCCCCCTTCTAGCTCTTGGGGCTGATTGGAACCTGAGTTTGATAACACACAGGGAGCCTTGTGGGTGAGGAATTGAGTGACCTTTATTTTCTTTTTAAAGGAAGCTGAACATATTTGCTGAGTTGCCAGAGTGATGTAAAGGCTCCATCCCTCCTGTCTCCCTGCCCTGCCAGGGTGGAGGGAAGCCTCTGTCTCGGCCTTCCCACTCTGCTTCTCCCACTGAGACCCACTGGGCCTTCACAGACCTTAAACTGAGCATGACTGAGATAGGTTGGTGGGAGGAAGATGCAGTGACAGAGGAAGCCACCCAGAGGAAAGTGCTGGGCACATCCCCGAAGGGTGAGAGGGGGCAGGTCCAGACACTTCCCTACCTGCAGGCTGAGCCTCTTTCTCTCTGGATTGAACATTTGGGTAAAAAACAAAACAAATTCCATCAACTATGCAGCTGTTTCTAACTACGCCCAGATTGGGCGGCTAGTGGACCCAGCTACTCCCTCTGTCCAATTGGTAGTAAAAGAATTTTCAGTGAGTTCTGGGTTTTCAATTCTGCTTTTGACAGTTTTTGTCATGTGACTTGAATTTAAGGAGCTGTCACCATCTTTAACAGCAGGATAGGACAGGAACTATAAATGGCCTTCCCAGAGCTGCACTGACAACTGCACAGGGCTTAACTGAACCCCTTTGCTTAACTGAACCCCGTTCTTCCTGGCTTTGCCCGAATGTTTTCATATCAAGATGCAAGGAACAACCCCCAAATAACGTGAGCCCCAGAGCTCAGCAGTTTCCACCGGCCCCTGTGCCATCAGCTCCCTGGCCCTTCACCCTGAGCTGAGTAGATTCTCCTGGACTCCTCACCTTTGTGTTATGTCCTCGGGTCACTTTAGATTTTAGGACATTGCAAAAATCGGTTTGACGTGATACTAAGTTTTGGTCTAAGTAACAGTTTGTCTTTCCCTTTCTTCCCTGCCACTGTGACCAGCACGCAGTCAGAATGCTCACAAGGTCCTGGTTACTCCCCAGGGCCTCTGTCCTTGCCAAGAGAACGTGTTTGCACTGAGGACGGAAAACCGATTAGGTAAGTCATCCCTACGTGGCGGGCACTGGGGAAAGGGCAGAATGGCTTTGTGGACTGCAGAGTGTGGGGAGGCCAGACACTCTTGGATCATATACATGGCTCTACCTTGGTCAGTTCCAGGACCTGTGGAGTTTGCAGACATGTCCACCACTGCCCCCTTGCTTTGGGACAGAGTACTAGCCTGAGTGTACTACAAGCCTCGGATGAAGACACCAGAGCATCTCTTTGGAGGTGAGTGGCTGCCACTAGCAGCCTGGCTATGCTGGCCCCCAAGGTGGTCCCCATCCTTACCTCTGAATCCGTTTCCGTTGCCACTGGAGCAGGCAGGTGAAGGGGAGCCCTGGGGCCTGATGACGGGGGCAAAGGCACTCTTCTGTTTGACAGCAGGAAAAACGGAGGAGGAAAACGGGAGGATGGAGGACGTGCTGGAGGATCCCACGGTGGGACTCGAGGACATGACTGGAAAGCAAATGTAGAATCCTCCGTTAGAAAAGGGCTCAGCCAGAAACTAGCATCTTTCTCTGATATACTTGACACATATTTAATTTCTAGGCATCGTTTAATTTCTAGGCATCGTTCCTGTTTGCTGGGATTTAAAAAAAAAAAAATGAATGTGACAACATTCCCCCTCTCTGGTGGGAAGAATAGACGAACTACTACTACTATAGTAATGATTCTCTTAGGCAGTGGTTCTCAACCTGTGGGTCGCGACCAATGAAAATACATCCTGCATATCAGATATTTACATTACGATTCATAACAGTAGCAAAATCATAAAGTAGCAATGAAAATAATTTTATGGCTGGGGGTCACCCCCACAGGAGGAATTGTATTAAGGGGTCGCAGCATTTGGAAGGCTGAGAACCACTGTCTTAGAGGAATGTACCCAAAACTAAGGACAGCAGAGTCAAGAAGGCAGCAGCAGGTGGGGATATTGGGACAGGTCTTAAGTAGAAACTTGGCAAGAGAAGACAGACCCCAAATCTGCCTTAAAGAAAATCATCAACTCTGCCTTGAAACTGCTTCTTTGCCTCCAAAGTTGTTTTATCTGGGAGTTACGTTTGTCCTTGGTAACTCCTAGGCCACTGGGGATGTGGCCTGAAGGGTTACTGTCTTCTCTGAGATGCCCTCTCGCTGGGCCCCTTCCTCATTAAATGTAAAAGTTTATTAGCATTTAGAGGCTATTTCCCTCCCCCTGTGCTTTTAGTGCTCCTGGGAAATAAAACTGCAAGTCAGACCCCCCTGACATAATGTTTAGGAAAAAAACACCCATAGGAACATTAAAATAATTTCAGAGAAGCCCAAAGAACGGCAACTTCCACGAGGAAGGGCCTCACCTCTTACTGTCAGATGGGCCACCAGGTCACATCATGAAAGCAGATAATTCTATCAGCTATGCTCAACTTGCTCAAGACAGGGGTAAACCAGAGTTCACCAGGGTGAGAATGTTAGAGACAGAACTGTATAGTGTAAGGTCAAGGTTTAGGGACTTGTTTAACCATAACCTCCAGCATTCAGAAATGTCCAAGTCACGCGACTTGGCCAAAGAATTGCTGGAGCCTCATGGCAAAGCCCAGGGTAAACTCCTGCAGCAGAGCTGACACCTGCCCTGGGCCTTCAATGAAACGGCTTCCCAACAAGGGACATTCTGAAACCGAGAAGATGAGTGAGACTTAGGAGGGGGAAGGCAAAGCAGCAGGGGACTTGGAGGGTGAATGTTCTGCTATCCTGCGGGAGACTCTCCCCTTGTTCTCCCAATAAAAATAGACTTTAGGCTGTGCATGTGCAAAGTCCTCAGACAGCTTACCAGCACTAGTGGAGCTCTGCTATACAGGACATCAAACAAAGACTTCAAACAGCGAGCCCTTGGAAAACTATCCTCAAAGAGCCATGCAGAAGGACATATCTGAACATGTCACTGTTTTCCCTCACATTACAGGAACAAAGTGGAAAAAAAAATGGAGAGGATGCGGTTCTGGAAGAAACTCACCTAACAGTGGACGAAATAAATGAATAGAAAATTGGGCTGATTCACTGTTATAAGGTAAGGTACAGGGCTGAGCATTCACAGAGCCAAGCAAAATCTCCCAGCTTTGGTTTTTGCACAAGAACAAGAGGCAAACAACACCAACTCTCCTCTTTCTCTACTGCAGAGAACTGATAAGCTGAGACCCAGAAGGCCCTGACCTTGCTCGCATCGCTGCTGTGCCCTGTGACCCACTCAGGCCCCCCCAATGGCACCTTGGTTTCTGTGTCAACAACAGCAGAGCCTTGGCTCAGCCACCAAGATGGAGGTCTGTCTAATGTGAATCACACACACTTGATTCCACTTGTATTCAGCATAGAACTCACTTGTACAGAAAATGGGATTTTTTTTTTGGTTAAGGGCAGCTCAAGAATGAGCCCAGACCTGTTTTAAATATGCTTTACAAAAAATTTTAAATCTAACCGGAAAGATCACCTGTATTTCTGTCTAACAAGGGTACAAGTGAGCTTTTCTAGAAATAGAATGTAAATGTTTTGACACAATGACTATGCAAATTACATGAAATTTATGTGAACCAGCTTGATGAAAGTATTTCAAAATGTATATGAAAACACTACACTGTACCCCGTTTGCATTAATGTATAGAGCTATCATTTAATAAAAACAAAAAAACAAACCAAAAAATTTTAAATCTAATGTAAATTTAAAATGTAATGCAAATATAATCCTAAAAGGAATTTAAATTTGTACAAACACAATTTCTATGTTTACAGGTTATGAGAGAACCATAAAGTTTGGTTAATTTTTTTTTTTTTAAATAAAGAAAGGCACTTATCTGAATAGATAAAGATGATAAATTTGCAGCAATGAAATCAGAGTTATACTTGCATAGAAACAGGTGGGCAAAGCTTTAGACCAAAACAGAGTCCAGAAACAGCTGGGTATAAATGAGAATTATTACTTAATAAAGGCGACATTTTATATTAGTGGAGAGATAAATGCATGGAAAAATACCCTAAGCATTAGAGACGAAAGTAAATCTAAGTAGATTAAAGAGTTGTTTGTAAAAGCAAAATTATAAAAGTGCTAGTCGAAATATTAGGACGGTTATATGGTGTGCCTAATCCCTTCAACCTCAAGGCCTAAATAGATGCTCATAAGATAGATTTGCTACATAATCAAAAACTTCTGTAGCACACACAGATGACAAATTAAGAAAAATATTTGCAATCCTTTTTTAGATCTGTCTATATCCTTACTAGCTAATATGTTTTTGTAAGTTAATTAGAAAAACACCCCCATAGAAAAATGGGCAAAGGACCCAAAAAGGAGAAATTAAAGTGACCAAGAGACCCATGTAGAAACATTCAAACCGGTGAGTCATAAAATGGTAATTAAAATAGTAATAAGATGTTATTTTCCACTTACTAAATGGATCAAGATTAAGAAAAAAGGAACAGGGCGGGGAAACAGACTCCTTTTCTGAGGGGAGAATTAACCTCTCTGGAGGCGCTTTGATAGATATTGCCAAAGTATTTTAAAACGGGCCTATCCTTTGACCCACTAATTTAATCTCCAGAAATTAATTCCAGGGAGATAATCACACATGTGCCAAAAATAATAAATCCAAGGGCATTTTTTATAACAATGAAAAATTGGAAGATAGCTTAAGTGACCTACAAGAGGGTAAATTATATTAATCTTAAACCTATATAATAGTTTTAAGGCTTGCATTGCATTCTAACGTTGCAGAAAATATTTAATCACAGAGAAAGATGTGCCCACTTCTAGGAAAAAAGCAGATTACATGATAACATCAATCCTCCCCCCCCCACTTAATTTTTGCAGTTTTTGGCTGGGGCTGGTGCCCTACTCCTTTGAGCCACAGGCCCTGCCCCAAACCTATTTTTAAAAAGACAATAAAGGTCTAGAAGGATCTGACATACCTCCAAGTTGTCCATGATGCCATCTCTATGGTTGATGTGATTATAAATATCCTTAAGCTTATTCTTTTTCCCTCTTTTCAAAATTTTCTACGATGAAATGTCTACAATGAATCGTCTATGTGTTTTACTGCTGATGTAGGAGAAAACAGTGAAAGCCATTTTTCCACAGTGAAAAAATTCTATTTCTTTGATAAAAAAATAGAAGCCATGGGTGGTGCCTGTGGCTCAAGGAGTAGGGTACCAGCCCCATATACCAGAGGTGGCAGGTTCAAACCCAGCCCTGGCCAAAAACTGCAAAAAAAAAAATAGAAGGTGTAGCACTCAGCACACACCTTATTTTGTTTTTGTTCATTTGGGAGACAGAGTCTCACTTTGGCACCCAAGCTAGAGCGCAATAACCTCAAACTCCTGGGCTCAAGCACTGCCTCCCTCCTAGCGGGGGTTACAAGCGTGCACCCCCATGGTCTGTGCATTTTCAGTAGAGATGGGCTCTTTCTGAGGCTGGGCTCCAACTCCTGACCTCCAGGGGTCTTCCATCACAGACATGAACCCCCCAAGCCCCCACCCAGCTAGCTTTTTGGAATAATGATAATTTTCCCCTCTGATTTTACTCTCTATAAAATGTTGTTTGAAACCTTTCTGATTAAAAAAAGCAGAGACAAATTCTCAAATTCCTAAGGAAAAACCTGATGATTGTGATCAACATTTTAAGCAAACGTCCCTCCTAATATTTTTTCTCCATTTCCAGGACCCACATCTGCATCATTATGGGACCTTGCTAGCTGTGGCTTTGGTAGTTTGACCAGTTGTCCTCCACCCTTTCATCGATCTAATGGCACAAATTTCATCAATTCTGCATCGGAGTAGCACCATATTTCTACGCAGAGATAGCAGGTGTTTCCTTTCCAAGTGTAACCTCTATAAAAATCACAGTGTATCATTTTTCTTTACTTCTTTTAACCTATTAACACTTTTCAAATTGCATAATCCTGAGAATAAGACTATTGTATTTCTTCGGGAAAAAAATCCTATTACAATGTTAATTAAAGGAGACTGTTTCTTATGCTGAGTATGTTTTCTTTCAGAAACTATTTTTAGAGGTGCTACATTTTCTATAATAGTCATTTAATATTTTAGAACCGAAAGGTTCTTAATATTTATTTTTGAAAAACATAAAACTAGCCGAGGGCATTGTCTCTGACTCTGTAAGAAAGTGAAGGAGGAATCCTTGAGGACAGGTTGGATTCCTGCCTGCATGGATTCTGTCCAAACTTGCTTTGGCTTGGTGGCTGTTCTGCTTTGGAAGAAGTGGTCCCCCTGGGTGTTGCAGGCTTGTTGAGTAGACCATCTTTGGGGACAGCAGAGCGCACCATTTTAGGAAAGTTGATCAGAGCTACTTCCATTTGAGAATTTCTGCGGCCATCTAGCTCTCTATGGAGAGAGGCCAAAGTCAAGGCGAGCACGTCTGGCCCAGAAATCTATGTGAATGTAAGGCGTTAAGGAAAAACCACTTTTCTTACAAGGATTGATCGGCTTGCAGAGTCCCAGCTGGAACTCACCGGGCACACATCCTCCTTTGCACCGAGCCATTGCATTTGCTGGCGCTGAGGGGTCTGTCAGCATTTCATTATAACCCCCTATTGTCAGGGGTTTAGAATTCAGCCATTAAAAAAAAAAAAAAAAACTTGCACAGAGCTGGAACTTGGCACACGCTGCTACCGCCAGGAAGTGAAGTTTTGTATGTAAAATTGAAAAAACATCTGTTTGGCCATTTCTGAAGTAGTGTGAGAGCAAAAGCAGTCAAGATGCAGGTTTTTGATACTCTGTGTTGGCTGTAATACAAGTCAAACTTGACCAAAGGGGTTGGCTCAGTTTCTTTATAAATGCCTCTGGCAAGTGAGGGCTCCCTGGCACGGTCCGGCCGTAGAGGACACATTGAAAAACAAATAAAATGAAAAGTCCTAGGATTGTGTTTCAGGCCCAAGTCACAGAACTGACAAAAGGTTTCCCCCCAGGCTTTTTTTTTTTCCTCCCCAAAGAAGAGTTCGCTGGTTAGAAATACAGGTCAGGTGCTATTGTAATGAACTCCGCTGGGTATTCAGTATTTTCGCAGTAGAACAATTTGATTGTAAGAATGCACTGTTTGGAATCCCAGGCCCAGTCTGCGACGCCTGCACACCCTACTTCCAAAAGTGAAGGTGCAGTGATCACACCAGATGAGGTAGGAGCTAGGAGAAGGTCCTCTCTCCTCTTTCCCTCTCCTGGTTGGGCAGGAAAGTGTTCCTCTTTTCTTTTTCCTATTCTGTGTATGCTGTCTTGTTTTTTTGTTTTTTTTTGAGACAGAGCCTCAAACTATCCCCCTGGGTAGAGTGCCATGGCATCACAGCTCACAGGAACCTCCAACTCCTGGGCTCAAGCAAGTCTCCTGCCTCAGCCTCCCAAGTAGCTGGGACCACAGCACCTGGCTAGTTTTTGGTTGCAGCCATCATTGTTGTTTGGTAGGTCCGGGCTAGATTCAAACCCGCCACCTTAGGTGTATGTGGCTGGCACCTTAGCCACTTGAGCCACAGGCACCAAGCCTGCTGTCTTGTTTTAAATGGTGATTTGAAGCTTTGGGGCGCTATTGTTTTTCTTGTGGCTGGGGGTTTAGGTGACCATGAAAGGACAATGGATGAAAATTGTCATTTGCCAGAATGCTCCCTACGCAGTGAGTTATCTAGTAAGAAATAGCAAGCGATTAATGCCCTTTTTCCTTTCTTTTCTCTCCCTTCCCTTGACTCTCTCCCTTCCCACCACGTGTCTTTCATTGACCCTTTTTCTTAGCCTACAAAAACAACCACTTCATGTAGTTCAACCTGACACATACACAAATATACGAAAAAACCATCTGAAATTGTCATTTTTGTAGGTCAAAAATAATCAGAGGCTCGGCACCTGTAGCTCAGTGGTTAGGGCATCAGCCACCTGCACCGAGACAGGCAGGTTTGAACCTGACCTGGGGCTACTAAACAACAGTGACAACAATAAGAAGCAGCCGGGCGTTGTGGTGAGTGCCTGTAGTCCCAGTTACTTGGGAGGCTGAGGCAAGAGAATTGCTTAAGCCCAAGAGTTTGAGGTTGCTGTGAGCTGTGACAGCACTGTGCTCTACTGAGGGCAACAAAGTGAGACTCTGTCTCAGAAAAAAGTAATAATACTAGAGGAAGTTTCATATAGTTCAGCCTAATAATCTATTATAAATGTATTGAATATTCTATTGAATGATTTTAGTCTGATGACATGTATTTGAGTCCCATTTTTACTATTGCCTGCTCTCAAACCTGAAGTCATAAGAACTTTGTCTCTTACCAGGGAAAATGATAAGGATCAAGGTAAAAAGAAGTTAATTTACATTCCTGTCACAATTTTGTGAGGCTCTTGGAAGGATATGAACATAGTTTTTAAGTTGTAAAGTGAATGCAATTATTAATGAATCTTATTGTCATCACTGTTAAGATGTAACATTATTTATGCCATGGATCTCTCACGATCACAGCACTTGCTGGGTTATTAAAAATGTGCTCCCTTTACCATGCCAGGCACCTTCTCCAAGGGTAAGCGCGAAAAAGACCTAAAATCTTAATCACAGATCCGTCCAGTTTCTCCTGAGCTATTTAGTAACATGTGGACGTAAAACCTTAGAACAAATGGTTTTTCTCTCTTTGCTATAGGATCCTGGAAGCTCAGAACCAAATTAAAGGCCAATTTGCATAGGTAAAACGATAGTCATGCTGACTCTGGGATTTATCTAATTTTCCTAAGTGTATTTTTTTCTTTTACCTGCTGCTTATCAGAGTCTGCTTTATACATTCACATGCCCACTTGATGCTGACGATTCCCCCAAGACATTGTCAAAACAAGTAAAGAAACAAATCAAGCAATCCTTTGTCTCCCTAGACCATCATCTAATTCACCTGGGCCATCTGATAAGATACAATAATAGGACTCGAATCTTTACAGTAACAAGATTTCAGTTATCCTGAAAGAACCTCTACTCCCCCTTTGCTACTTGGAACCATATTTTTATCACAGTGGGCAGTGTTGATTGTAGGAGTTGAACCAATAACCCAGAAATAACTCACGGGCATGTGTCCCCAGAGAGCCCCAGGCCGTGACCATGGCACACGTGCCCGTGACCTGTCCTTGGTTCTGCCATGAGGGAACCTCTCTGGGTGAAAGGAGCATAAGCCTCAGAACCTTGCAACAAGACCTAGCATTTCAAGAACACTCTCCCCAATCACTCAGACTCTCCACGACAGCTTGTCCCCTGGCCTGAATTATTCCCCTAGGCAGGTTGGAAGAATCCATGCCATCTCAGGCTCCTGGGACATTGTGAAAGTTCCCAGCACAGTCCCCAGAGCAACCCCAATGAGTTGTCACAACGCCCCAGAGTAGGGACTTTGCCACTAGACCACAGACCAAGATAAAGAGGTTCTGTCTCAATATTTCACACGATTAGGCAACGTCAACTTCCACCTCTCTGGAGGTGCCTGAGGATAGGGGAAAGCAAGTGGAGTCTGGTGTGAGGCTCAGTCATCAATAGTGGGCCCAAATGATCACACGGCTACAATGTAGCTGTGTGATTTGGGGAGAGTCACCTATAACATGGAGGTCAAGTTCTTAGGTTAAATATGACACCAGAAAGTGCCTAACACAGAGTACACATGCTAACTGAAATGGAACCTTAATTCCTCACTCCTGTCTGCACGGGTGACATAGCCTCTCTCTCTGAAAGAACAGCATCGTTTCATTCTTTTCCCCCAGAGGTCCTTACATCACCATAAGAGCCACAAAGTCCAGTGAAGGCAAAAGAACAAAAGCTAAAAAGCACCTGGCATCAGGAAGGTAAGCTGCTCGCCCACAAGGTGGACGGTCTAGGAATGCAACTTTTTCCCCGCAAAAAGCTGACTAGTGGTAGGAAGGAGAAGGCACTTACTTCCATACGGGGAGCCTGTCGGGGAGCCGTTGAGGAATCCCGGGGAGCCTGGTACGCCCAGGTTGGCCATGGGGACGTTGCTGTAGCCGTTCATGCTGTTACTGGAAGTGCTGTAGTTGGACTGCTGGGGCGTGGAGCTGGACGAGTAGCCCCGCGGGGAGATGCTGCTCGTGTTACGGATGTACCCTGGTGGCCGAGGAAAGCCCAGGTGAGCGGCCGGGCACGATCAGGGCCACGCTGGCCCCAGGCTCCCCACCATCACCCCGAGCAGTGGTGGGGAGCGTGCAGTCCCGCTCAGGCTTTTATTCTTTCTTCTCTTCCCCCCCACCCACGTTTGGCTGTGTCCTTGACATCTGCCCCACCCTTCACACCTGCACTCAGCACCTCCAGCTCATGCCTGGGAGTGAGGGAGTGAGGGCAGGGGCCGAGCCATCTCCTGAATTACGTTTCACGGGACACTGGAGTCCTGTGAGATATTAAGTGGTGTCACAAACACATTCTGCAGTCAAACTGAGCTGGGCAGACACTCTGAACTGCCATCTCTTACGGATTCACAGATGGAAGGCCTAGAGAATAAATAAACTAATTTAACTTTGCTAACCTAGTGCTTTCTGAATGTCACATCCCATAGCCACTTTAGGGGCCAGGGGAGAGGAGGGTGAAGGGAAAAGGCACCCTAAAAACATCTCCAGGGCCACTTGTAGTCTATGGAAATGAGTTCAAAGTCATTGCTGTGCTCCAGGAGGGGGTGAGGATCATCTCATGTTAAGGTAATGATGAGTTTGCCTCAACTTCCCCCGTGCTCTTCTCTGACTTGAGACTTGGCAGGACCCCTAATGAGGGCAGGAGGGTCCAGTCTGTGACTGGGCGGGGAAAGGGAAGATGTCTTCTCCACACTTCAGAAACCCCAGCACAGAGCTCATCTATCCTGAAATAGATCAGTTTAGAAAACTGTTGCTAAAACTAGAACCCAAATTTGTCACCAAATGAAAAAGAATTTGATAGACGATCCATAGGTCAGTCCCATGTCTTAAAAATAAAAAAGTCATAATATGTCCCACCTACTCTTTTCTGAGAACTCACCCTTGACAAAAGACTGAAGAATTTTCTTTCGATAAATGAAATTAAAATCAAATTACCCCAAGGTTAGGGAAGTAATTAGGAACATTTACTCCTTTTAAAAATGATTTATGATAGATTTAGACTTGAATGATAAAAACCAACCTCACTGAAAAAAATTTCTTTATTCTTTTTAAAATTTTCTTTATTTTTAAAGCCCAATTTTGCACTGAGGGATTAAATACCAACTTTAGTGACACTGACGTTAATAAGCTCTAATAGCCACCACCATGGTACCAGCCAAAATAATTCTTTACATGATACACTTTGTATGTGAAAGCACAGTTGACTGCGTAAGTTTATTGCTATATATTTATGTTTGAGATAAAATAGGAGACACCAAATAAAAATGAATCACTTACTCTTGTTGACCAGGAAGGGAAATCTGAGTATAATAAATGATGATGGCAATCATCAGCCTCTTCTCGTGATTTAATCCGATTATCCTAACAGCAGAAGTATAGCCTTTTTTCCCCCCCAATTACTACCTAAAAACCCAGTTTCCATAATCCTAAATTCTCCTAAATTCATAATAGTCAAAACATTTCTAGCCAAAGAGATTCTTCTCACTACCCAAAAAGCTCAGAAGCTAATCTGCTATCTGTAATGTTGAAATAATCCAATGTATTATTAGATTATTTATCCAGGGACACACTGTTTGATGGTATGTGATTTAAGCTCTGACTCTATTCCAGAGAAGCAACCTTTTATATATATCTATATGTACACAAAATATACTGTATATTTTATATGTGTGTGTGTGTGTGTGTATATATATATGTGTGTGTGTGTGTGTGTGTGTATATATATACACACATATTTTTTTTTTTAAGACAAATTCTTGCTGTATGATCCAGGCTGGAGTGTGGTGGCATCATCACAGCTCACTGTAGGTTCAAACTCCTGGGCACCAGCAATCCTCCTGGGTATCTAGGACTACAGGTGTGTGCCATGCCACCTGCTAATTTTTTCTATGTTTTGTAGAGAGAGGGTCTTATTCTTACTCAGGGTGGCCTTGAACTCCTGAGCTCCCGCACCCTCCTGCCTCAATCTCCCAGAGTGTAGCATTGCAGGTGTGAGCCACTGCACCCAGCCAGAACCAATATTTTTAAACATAAAAGATGCATTTAGATTTTAACTCTGAGAAAGGGGGGGGTGTACCTTGGTTATTTCCTTGTGTTGACTCGGAGATGCTGACCCCAAGCTGACTGCCGTAGGAGTTAATGCCCATCATGCCCCCGTGAGCTGGGGAGCTGGACAGAGCTGGGATCTGGCTGGGGTTCCTGGGGACGCTGTAGAGGGCTTCAGCAATATCCGCGGCTCGCTTCAAAATGATGTCCTGCAAAACGGCAGGTTGACATGAGCACCTTAGGCAGCATGAAGGGTCAAGTACAACAGCGCATGAGATGTGAGCTTCTCACCTGGTTGTTGTGCGGCGTGCCGTAGAGGGCCTCCACCAGGTCCGCCGCTCTCTTCAGCAGCATCTCCTGGAAAAGCAAAAGGCCAATTCCAAAATAGCAAACAAAAGAAAAATCACAAATAAAAAGGAAATGTCCACACATCCTCCCTCTCCCAAATATAAAGAATTATCCAATGGGTTCTACATTGGGTTTGACAGGTGGAATATAAATCTTTTTCCAAATATGTATCTCTGTGAAATTACCCTTGATAAAAAGAGCTTCAGAAATGGCATGTGGGTGGGGTTGGTTAAAATAAATAATGTCACGACTGTTCTATTAAAAACTGCTTTCACGCCGTTCCATTGAAAAATCTGGTACTCTAATTAACCAAATATATTCTTAAAATGATTGATGGACCTGAGTTTAGCCGCTTGCCAAGGAGTTGTCCAGAGTACTGAAATGATCTTGGCAATGCCTTCTGCAAAATTTTCTTCTAATAAAGATGAATTCTTCCAATAATATTTCCCCCTGTCCGCTCTAACCAGAGAGAATTAGTAATCACTAATCCCTCTCCTCTCGTTCTGTCTTTCCCACCTCCTGTTTTTTACAGCCTTTTAAATCGCTATTAACCTACTTTCCAGATAGCATCTAATTTAATGGTGGGGCTGGGGATTTTTCCAGGAAAAAAATAAAGGTGTGATAGAGGAGGAACAGCGGTACTTAAATTTTACTCACAGCACAGACAAGAGAACACGGCATTTTATCATTGGTGCCTTTCAAGGGCAAATAGAAACGTACAAATTTAATAGCTTCTCGTTAGTTGAACGACAACCAAACAATGGATGTAGTTTTTAAATAAAGCTAGCTGACATCCTGGGCCCAATAGTATAATTATCACATGCAGGTTCATTTAAAATGGGTGCATTGCACAGAAACTTCATGTCACGAAGGCGTTTTTCTCTTCATTAAATACGTACATAGTAGGGCCTCCATGAATAATGAATTGTGAATCGGTCCCTGCAATTATGGGTAAATAAAATCCTATTTAAATACAAAGGAGTGGGAGCTTATACGTTTAAGCAATTACGCAAATAATTATTTATATAAAGTTGGTGATGTTTTATAAGTGGAATATGCCTATCGTGTATCTGTTTTATATTCTCAGGTCTTCAGATACATTTCATAGTTAGCAGGTACATTGTGTGTCTCCAGCGTAACCAAATTTCAAAGCCTAATTAATTTTAATGGGACTTAAATGGCTGGATTTGTCTAAGTTCACTGAAATTCTCCAGGAAGGTTTTTACCCGTCCATGTCCAAAGCATTTTACCTTAGCTAATCTCTCAGGGTCTCCGGGATGCCTGGGGATGACTTTCTGAAGCCTCTGGAAGCCATAGTCTATGGTGGGTTCATTTAATGCTGAAAGATAAAAATCCTCTCTTTGAGTACACGTGCTGGCCATAAAGCAACCTTCTCATTCAGTCCTCCACAGGTCAGAGAAAATGTCTGATAGTATCTATTTCATTTCCACTGAGAAGTGAGACATAATGGATGCAAATAGAGGTTTTTCCTACTGGCATGGATGTACTTCATACATACATTCAGAATTTATAATTCTGCATTTTGCCATTAGAATATTTCAAAATTTCAGGATTATTGCAAATATCATTTCTGCCTAAGTGATCACACACAATGCTTCGCCCACTCTCAAATAATAAAAACATGACACGATCCTTCATATATAATCGCAATTTCTCATGAAGATAATAAGCTAACCCTAAATTATTTTCTCTTCCTCTTCTCTTGGCCAAGTACGCTTTACCTCTTAATCATTCTCAATCTCGCTTTTCATAATAATTTTCTTAAATATTTACATTCATATATATAGAAGCTTTCTGTGAGCTTCTACTCCTAAAACACTGCTCTTGTGAATACTATACTTCCCCTGACTTGTAATTATGTTTAGTTACACCTCCAGTGTTTTTTGGGGTTTTTTTTTTTAGTGTTTGGCCGGGGCTGGGTTTGAACCCGCCACCTCCGGCACATGGGGCCGGTGCCCTACTCCTTTGAGCCACAGGTGCCGCCCAGCTCCTGTTTTCAATGTTAAACTCTGAAACTATTCGGCAAGGTTCACAAAAGCAGAAATCAAATTTAGTTTCCCCAGTCTGTTCTCATGGAGATAAGGCTCAGTACATGGGAGACAATTAGTGCCAGAAATTGTGAAATGAGTAAATGAATGAATGAATGACATACTTTAGCATTTCTACTATTCCAAAGAGTTTCTAATGTTGATTCTTTTTATTTTCTTTTTTTCTTCCTCCCTCCCCTCCTTTTTTTTTTTTTTTTTTAAGGGAAAAGAGCTTTTTGTTTTTTAAATCTTATGGCTTAAAATGAATGTATGATCAGATCAAAGTAAAGAAAAAGAAATAAAGAATAAAATAATCATCGCCTGCATTCTTGGGATGCGGGGACAAAATAGGACCGTGTGTTTCCTTTTTAATCTTCCTTTTTGCATATCTAGGTATTTTAGCAATATCTATTGCTATGATTTTAACTATCAAAAACATCTTTAGAGAAACCATAACAAGATTAGACGTAGAAATAACAAAAGTCACCCATAAACCCCCCACTTAGGAGAGGGCCTGGATTAACATTCTCGCTTGCAACCTTTCAGATTGAAACACGCACACATATGTAAAATTATTCAGAGACGAACCATTAACACTGTTACCTAACCTACTTCTTATCCACCTAATATATCCTAAACTTTCCCCCAGGTTATTAAGCATTCTTTTATAACATTATTTAAAATGCCTGCATCTTTTTCCATGACATGTACTATAATTTATTTAAATGGCTTCCTAATGTTAGGCATTTAATGTGCTCCTAATTTCTCCCTATTATAAAAATCAGAGCAAATAATTATCCTTCACACGTACCTTTAATGATTTCAACTGGAAAATTCCAAGAATTAGAATTACTGGACCAAAAATGATAATTAACAGGTAAGTCCTTTCACGCACGCCATCAAATCACTACTCAAGAGAACGCATGAATTTCTGCTTCCTCCAGCCACGCATGTGGTCATTTGAAGTTCCATTTCTTTACTCATTAGTGAGGGTGAAAATTTTTTCTCGTAGTTTCTGATCATTTTAATTTCTCCTTTTATGAATGGCTTAGTCATACTCTCTGCACTCTTTTGGGAATGATTGTTTTCTTTTTTGGACGTGTAAAACTATATATTAATTTTTTTAGCACTCTGTCAATATGGTGCCATATCACATCCAAATTTATCCTTCGATGCTATATACAGAAAGGGCCTGCTAACGCCTGTATTTGATAAGTAAATGCGCGCTCACACCTACGCGTACATTGTGAATTCTGAAATCATTTACCTTATCTGGATTTCATTTTGTTGTATACCGTTAGGTATTTACTTTTACCACAACTTTACATCACAATTTGCGGCATGGTTTCCAGACATTCGGATGTGTTGATCTGTGCTTCTCTTCTGGGTGAGAGTCAGACAACTGTATGTAGTTGTATGTAATACAACTAGTTGTATACATGTTTAATATTTGATAGTTGTCCTGCTACAGTTTTTTCAAACAACATTTAACGATCATTATCCATTTATTCTTCCAGATTTAAAAAATATTACAATTGCACTAAACCTATAATTAGAGAGAAAATAGATGGCATAGCAATATCAATACTCCCCTTCCTCCTTAGAACCCCCAGTAAAACGCGTGCCATGCATCATATAAGTGTTTTATTTTTACTATCTACTTCATTCTGTTTTTTTATTGTAAATAGAATTATTCCATATTTTCCATTAGTGTCAGAAACACTTGGTTTTTTCCTGTCTGCACCGGCAGCAGGTGGGAGGGGAGGGTGTGGTCTCCAACAGTCATTAAGAGAATCGGCTTTATAGATGAGTAGCCCTTGGGGTTGAATTTCAGCTCCATGATTTCTGGGAGCTGTTTAAAAGCCATCTCCTGAGTACATTGGATACTTTTTCTTCCATTCTGGAGCTACTTTGCCAATGTACTCAGCCCTACTATGAAACTAATTTATAGCTTTCATAGGAAAACTATAACCCAATTTTAGCCCAAGAATATGGGGAAAGGAGAGAGGGAGGGTAAGGAAAAGGGTGAGTGGAGGGAGGGTGGTCGGTGAGATCACGCCTATGGTTCATCCTATAAGGGTACGTGTGAATCTCTCTAAATGTGGAATATAAATGTCTTAACACAATAACTAAGAAAATGACATGAAGGCTGTGTTAACCAGTTGGATGAAAGTATTTCAAATTGTATATAGAAACAGCACTCTGTACCCCATGATAGTATTAATGTACACAGCTATGATTTAGTAAAAAAACAAATAAAAATAAAAGTCATCTCCTGGTTGGCTGTCAAAATTTAAATATAATGCCCCCCCAGCACGGTGCTTGGCAAAGACAAGAACTTAACCAAAGGCAGCGCTTACTGTGTCACCAAACCCCAGACAGATGTCACTATTTTTTTTCTGTTCATTCTCTTAGCTTTGCACATTCCTATCATGTAACCATCATTTTGTCTCCTGTTCACAGGTATTAATACTTTAATCCTATCTAGTTTTCTTAATCCCATTCTTGTCTTGGCAGAAGCTTGCCAAACAATGCCCAGACCTGGGGATGAACCCGGATCTTCTTTCTTATTTTCCTCTACGTGGAAATGATAGTAACACTTCACCGTCAAATGCGGCCTCGCCTATCTAAGATACTATTAGTTATCAGGCTTCATTAATGGTTTTGATCAGGACTTGTGGGAATTTTAGGAAATTATTTTCACCTGAGTTTTTCCCTTCAACAGTTTGTAGTGTATTTCATAATCTTTTCTAATATTTCACAGTTAAATATTAACTCGTGGGTTGGTATATAATTTCCTTAGCATATTTATGAATTAAATGTGTTAACAGTGTCTCAAGATGACGGATGTGAGGATTAAATAAATCAAGTCACTAAGAATAGTTCCTGGCACCTGGTGACAGTGCGATTGTCAGTTCTTATCTTTGACAGGGATTTATGGACTCGTATTAATAAGCAGGAGTGTGCCTGGGTCCATCCAACTTATGACTAGTTTTTAGATTATGCTAGCTTTGAAAAATAAATTTAGACGTTTTCTCTATTTCATCCTGCGGTCAATAAACTTTATATAGCATGGGTAGTCTCTCTTGGCTAAAAGAGCTCTAGAAAAATTATTCCTGTTGAGATCACTAATTACACTGTAACCAAGTCAAGAGGAATTTTTCTGTTCTTAACTCTCAAGTTAGCATTTGACTCTGCTCTGGGTCTTGACGTTTAGAAAGACTCCTACCCACTGTCTTTCCTGACTCCGCTTTGCCCGGCTTCCCTCCTACCTCTCTGTCGGTGCCATCTCCGCCTATTTGGAGGATGGTTCTTCCTCTGCCCTCCTTGTAAAAATTAACGTTCCTGGAGATTGTTGCCAAGGCAGTCTTATGCTTAGCCACCCCTTCTCCTGGGCAACCTCACAAGGCCCCGTGATTTCCGTGCCAAGCGACATGCTTATCATCACACATCTTTATCTCTAGTCCAGAAAGCTTGCCTGAGATTCAGCCTTTGTATATCCAACTGTTGGCTAGAAAATTCCATGCAGATGTCCCAGACATTCTGCCCACCCAGGTACCCACGTGCATGAGCGTCTCAGTCAACAGCACTGCCCTCCGTCAGATTACTAATCAGAAACCTGGATTCAGTCATTATTTCTCAACATGATTTGCATTCTTCTAGAAGAATCACCAACTTCATCACTTTAATGGTTTTCGCATATATTCTGTATAGTATTTGTTTGAAATTCCTAATCTTCTATCCACAGTTCTACCTTCTACCCTTTCGCTGTAATTTTCTGAACAGTCATAGTTCTAATTTTGACTTTAGGTCCAAGAAAAATCGCCCCCAATTTCTAGACAGTTGAGTATTAACCTGTTACTTATTTTAGTTAACTGCACTGAACTCATCAAAGTAGCCCGCATAGTACCTGCCTTTTGAAACTCGAGTTTTCTGAAGCCATACATATGAGTCTTGTCTGCATTCTGTGGGTAATACTTGAATGTTTTATTTAAGATACTTTTTGGTGGCATTATTAACACATTTACCCATTTTTGATACATAAATCTCTCTTCCCTGTTCTGCTTGTAGCAAATATATATATTTGAACAGCTTTCAAATACATAGATTATCATCTTGGTAATTTGGAAAATAAGCAATCTATTTTAAGAATTATCTTTAGCTTTCCCTACAAATATTTTACTTTTTCTAATGATCTGAGTCTGTTGAGTTCCTCCAGATAAAAGAAATTTTGCTTCCTTTCAATTATCCCCCCTCATTCTCTCCACTTTTTTTCTATTTGTTGACAGTT